CTCCTCCTCATCCTCGTCCTCATCGTCATCGTCCTCCTCCTCCTCCTCCCTCCTCCTCCTCCTCCTGTTCTTCCTCGTCCTCCCTCTCCCTCCCTCGTCCTTTCATCATCGTCCTCCCATCGTCCTCCTCCCCCTCATCGGCCTCCATCATCGTCCTCCATTGTCGTCCATCATTCATCGTCATCCTCCTCCTCCTCCCCCTCCTCCTCCTCTCCTCGTCCTCCCTCTCCCCCCCTCGTCCTTCCATCATCGTCCTCCCATTGTCGTCCCCCCCTCATCGGCCTCCATCATCGTCCTCCCATTGTCGTCCATCATCATTCATCATCATCATCATCCCCCTCCTCCCCCTCCTCGTCCTCCTCCTTCCCCTCCTCCCCCCCCCTCCCCCTCCTCGTCCTCCTGCTCCTCCTCCTTTTCTTTCTCTACGTTGTCCTTACATCCTCTCTTCTTCCGCGTTCTCCTCGTCCCCTGTTTACTCCTCCTGCCTCCCCCTCCTCTCCCAATACTACTGCAACGCAATCCTTTTTTCCACTTTATGCTCCCCGCCTTCTCTGATCAAGGCAACTCGCCAGGGCAAAGTTGCTGGACGGGCTGGTGTGGATGCGCGGGGCTTGAAGAGGTCCCTGCGGGCTCAGACGGCATGCAAAATTCCGCCGCCGCGCTTGTGCGGCATTGGTTCGTTCAGTGAACGTGGTTTAGGTCGCGGGTGGGTCGCGGGCTCTCCATCTCCTCCTGGAAGGGATGCAAAAGCAGCTCGCCGCAGGCGCCAACAAAAATTGGTTTGTACACTGAACGTGGTTTGGGTCGCGGGTGGGCCGCGGGTTCTCCACCGGGAACGAATACAAAAAATGCCCGCCGCAGGCGCCGAAGAATGTGGTTTGCACCCTGGATGTGGTCGCGGGTGGGCCGCGGGCTCTCCACCTGAAACCAATGCAAAAGATGCCCGCCGCAGGCGCCGAAAATGGTAGGTTGTACCCTGAACGTGGTTTGGGTCGCGGGTTGGCCGCGAGCTGGTCACGGGGTGGGTCGTGGGCTCTCCGCCTGGAAGGAATGCAAAACAAACCCGCCGCAGGCGCCGAAAATTGTGGTTCGTACCTTGAACGTGGTTTGGGTCGAAGGTGGGTCGCGCGTGGGTCGCGGGTGTGTCGCGGGTGGGTCGCGGGTGGGTCGCGGGTGGGTCGCGGGTGGGTCGCGGGGTGGGCCGCGGGCGGGTCGCGGGGTGGGTCGCGGGGTGGGTCGCGGAGTGGGTGGCGGGGTGGGTCGCGGGGTGGGTCGCGGGGTGGGTCGCGGGTGGATTGCGGGTGGGTCGCGGGTGGGTCGCGGGGTGGGTCGCGGGTTGGGTCGCGGGCGGGTCGCGGGGCGGGTTGCGGGTGGGACGACGACAACAACAACAAACACAACAACACCAACACCACCAACAACAGCAACAACAATAACAATATGAATGACAATAGCAATAACACTAACAACAATAATAACAACAACATCATCAACAACAACAACAACCAACAACAACAACAAACAACAACAACAACGATAATCCGCACCGCGGAATTCCTTTTCAGCCACGCACCCAGGGACAGTGAATGACCGTTCGGCCCCCTCTGACCGTCGGAGTAATTGTTCGTTTTGGCAGGGCGGTGCAGGACATGTGGTAAAGCAAAACGAAAAAAAACATAACGAGAACATGGCGAACAACAGCGTTTAGGTCCAGCCCTGGTTCGATCCGTTTAGCCCTGGTTCGATCCGCTTCGATCCGTATCGGCGAAGCCGAATCGCCCGGGAAGGGGAGAATGGGGGCAAATGGCCGGTCACGTCACAACGCGCGCTGGCGCCGTGTGGGGATGCTCACGAATGGCCGCCAATGTCCAGACGGCGCCAGCGCGAATGGTGGCGTGGCCAGGGGGTCGACAGGGATGGGGGGGGGGCGGAGGGCCGGTAATATCTGAAATAATACAGGAATGAACTCTTACGATGTTCCGATCCTCTGCAGGGCGGACCTACCAGTGCTTCGGCAGCAGCGGCGGCAGCCCGGGGGACTGCTTCCCAGGCCGCGAGGCGTGCGGCTCGCCGTTCGAGGGCGCCCCTGTGTTCCACTTGATGGACCAGCAGGGCTGCGCGGAGAACGACCCCAATGGCCCAGTCTACGACCCCGTGCACGGGGTGGTTCACCACTTTTACCAGGACCACCTGGCCGCCAAGCCAGGACACGGGCCGATATTCGGTGGCCTCCCGGCAGGTCCGGGGCGCCCGCGCTTGGCCCGGCCGTGGGGTGCGGGCTCGGTGGCCGAGAACCAAGGGGATCTCCCAGCCGCGTTCCTGGAGCGTCTGCTGGGGGACTGGTCGGAGCCTGGATTGGGACGCTGCGCAGCGTGTGGGAAAGCAGTGCTGCTGTGCGGTTGTGTGGTAGTGCCCTTCAATTTCCTCGTGTGCCCTTGAGGGTCCTCTTGGGGTTTCTCAGGCGCCTCTGGGTGTCAGAAGCTCTTGGATTTAACTGGCGCGCTTCTTGACGTGTTAACTGTTATACTCTCCAGGAGTCCTCACCGTCATAATATCCGTATCCTTGCGCACATGAGATTAAACAAGGGATCTAAGGATAATTCCCCTCTATACTCCCAGGCAGTCAGGGATGCGAGCCCCTTAACGAGCCTGTTTGCAAATATTCGGCATTCTGATGGAGGTTTCTCGGGGGTGTCCTGAGGACTTCTTGGCGACCTCGTAGGGGCCTCTTGGGGGCCTCTGGGAGACTTCTTGGAGGGCAGTTGGGAGTCATATGGCGATCTCGCCATCTTGGCAGGGGGATGAGAGGACGTGTTCCAAGTCGTGTTCCCAGGGTCAGTTCGCGGTGCCCCCGTTTGGCTTGTTTTCGGAGTGCCTGACGGACCTCGTGGTCCCGTGTGGGAGCCTCTTGGGACCGTCTTGGGACGATCTTTGGCGCCGCATGGCCATCTTGGATGCGATTGAGGCAACAGGGGGAGACAATTCTGTTTGCCAGCGTGGACCCATAGTCAGTAAATTATTGCAGTGAGGGTGTGTCAGCTATGCGGGGCAAGCAATATTGTGCAAACTTTGTGGCGCAACATATATGTGGTGCAGGTTTGGTGGTGTAAGCTATAGAGTTTGCGATATCTGGTGTAAGCTATGGGGTGCAAGTAAGCAACGCAGTTTAAGCTACGCCGTGCCAGTTATGTGGTGTCAGCTACGTGGTACAGTATATGTGATGTAGGCTACGTGGCGCAAGCTGCGTGGTGTAGCGCAGGTATCTCTTGCAAGTCATTCAGCTACTTGGCGAATGCTGCATGGTAGAACCTAATTATGTGGTGCAAGTATGTGGTGCAACCTCCTCCGAGTTTCTTACTCAGCGTCGGGGGGGCGTCACCCCCCGCCGACAGCCCCACATTGACCCCGTCGCGGGCAGCCACCGCGCGCCGAAGGCGCTCCGACCCCCGTCGCGGCGCGACGACGAGGAGAGGTTGACCCCCGTCGGGGGGGTACCCCCCCACGCCTACTCAGAAACACAGGGTCTGCGGGTCAGGCCTGTGGTGCAGCCTCTGCGGTGCAAGCCGTGGTGCAAGCTCTGCTGCCGCCCGGCGCACGAGGCGCCCCACGCGGCGCCCACGGGGCGGGCACCCCGCGAGCCCGGGGCGCACCCGACCCATCGCACGAGGGCGCCCACGAGGCGCCCGCGCCACGGGCGGGCACCCATTCGAAACCTCGCCGCGCCCCTCTCGGCACGCGAGGCGACCACCAAGCGCCCACGGGCGGGCACCGGGCGAGGCCTCGGCACACCAGTCCCCAGGGGAACGAAGAGTGACATAAACAGAAAGACTCGGAGGTCCGCGCGGATTTCTCGGATCCGCGCCGGTCCCCCCTGGCGGCGCCTCCGGCGCCGCCCCTGGCGCGCTCCGGTCCAGCGTGGATCCGAGAGCTCCGCGCGGACCTCCGAGTTTTTACGCGTACGCATGCTTCGTTCCCCGGAACACGAGATTCCCACGAGGCGCCCACGAGCGCCCTCCAGCCGGGCACCAGGCGAAACCTCGGCACACCCGGCCAATTCCTTAGGCAAGCGAAGCGAGTACCTCGAAGTGCATTCCCTGTCCGGGGACAAGTCACAACATGTTGTGGTCTCATGTTGCTGACCTCTCGAGCAGGCCCCCAGGTCCCTCAAGACAGCTTCCGAGGGAACCAATTGGTCTCAAGGGGCCGTTTTGGGATCGTCTTGAGGAACGTTGGACGGCTGTGGTCCGAATCCTGCTGCTAGAATTCTGGAAGTAAATGAAGCGACAAGCTCTGGATGCTCCAAGAAATCTGCAAGGGCCCCAGGACCAGGTGGCCCCTGGCTTTTTCACACTCCTCTAATTCATTCGTGCCTCTCACAGGGAAGATTCTGAACACACAACTCCACCACGTGCCACGGGTACGGATGCGGATATGGCCACTTTGTCAGCAAAGACTTGGTGAATTGGGCGCAGTTGCCCGTCGCCATTTGGAATGGGCTCGACTCCTCTGTCTGGCCGCCGAAGGCCACGCCCTACGACAACATGGCGATTTTCACTGGCAGCGCCGTGGTTGTGGAGGGGGCGGGACCAGGTGGTAAAGGTCCTGGCGTGGTCAACATCTACCCTGGGCTGTGCAACAAGCAGGACTGGCCTTCATGCAGCACGGGCACCCTCTTAGCACAGGCGGTGCCAGCAGAGTATGCTGGCGACCCGCTGCTGACAAATTGGACCAAGCCTGACTACAATCCGATCATCGAGAACACCCAGCGCGACCCGAGCACGCCGTGGAAAACGCCGAGCGGCGAGTGGCGCATGCGGACTTTCGACTCGATGGTGTACGGAGCTGCCTCGGATGCCGACCTGCTGGCCGGGCGCTGGTACACGATCGGCAAAAGTAAGGACTTCCGCAGTTGCGAGTGCCCGAGCTTCTACCCGCTGCCCGGCCCGACGCCTGGCTTCGAGGATGCCTATCACTCGAGCGCCGGCTCGCTGCCCACGCACGTGCACAAGACGAGTTGCGGCGGGGACTGGTGGCAGCTAGGTTCTTACGACCCAGGCCCCCTCAACTCCACCGGCGTGTTCTCGGCGACGGTCGGGTGGGAGGACCTTTTTGAGCAGCGTCGCATCGAGAGCGGCAAGCTCTACGCCTCGAAGGACAACGAGTACCCGACCAGGAGCGGAGGCAAGCGGCGCATCAACTGGGGCTGGGCCCAGGTGCCCCCGCAGAGCACGCAGACGCTCCCGAGAGTCGTGACCTTCAACGCCGTGGCGCGCGTGCTGGAGCAGGCCCCCGCCGAAGAGCTGGAGGCCCTCCGTGGCACGCCAGCCTCGTCCAGGACGGCCGTTCGCTTGGCCCCTGGCGTCGCCGTTGACCTGGAGGCGGGCAACGGGGTTGCAAAGCACAGCGAAACGGTGGCCGTGTTTCGGCTGCCCGAGCACAACGCCACCTTCGGCGTTACCGTCGGGGACCTCAGGTGTACGGTGAGCTATGCTCCCCCGGCCGGCGAAGCGGCTTCGAAGCCTTGGTACGCCGTGCAGGTCGAGTGCGGGGGAGTGAGCGACACGCTCCGGCTCGTGGCTAGCGAGACGACGATCGAGCTTCGAGTGTTTGCCGACGCGACCTTCGTGGAGGCCTACTTCCAGAAAGGCAGGGTTGCGATGACCGTGGCCTCCAAGCTCGGCGACAGCTCGCAGGTCGCCGTGGAGTCCACCGCGCCCGTCACGCTGTCCGACTCCCGCGTGTACCCCATGAGGGGCATCTGGGTGTCCCCGGAGGAGGTGCGGAGCTCCCCGCGGGTCTTCCCGGGAGCCTCGCGGGGGGCGGTGGCCGCCGTCGGCCACCGCGTGGAGGAGGTGGTCGTGTGAGGCGTAGCCGGGGGAGTGTCGCGCGGGATGCGGGCGCAGCCCCGTCGCCGGGCGCTACAGGCCCGTGGGCGCAGGCCGCGGACCCGCGGGGTTGCTCGAGCCACCGTGTGATCGGCCGCCTGCCCAGCCAGTCCTCATGCTGCGCGCGCGATGGCGCGCCACAGCTTCCGTTTGAATCGAGCCAGGGCCGCGAGTCTGAGTGTTCGCATGCGCTGCTGAGTGTTTATATTCGCTGGACCAGGGATGGCCAGAGACGGCCAGCAACAGCCCGACCGTTTCTCCTCCCGCCTCCTCTCCGACCCCAGCAGCTCCAGCATACGGCAGTCTGGCAGGGAAATCCTTTCAGGGGTTGCCACATGGGGAGTTCAGGTGTGAGGGAATCAGCCAGAGTTGCCTCGGGGACGGTGCGGTGCGGTATCCCGTCGAGGCCACACTTTCGCCCCTGCTTCCTCCCTCGAGCTCCCCTCCCCTCTACAATTACTCAATATGAATACTACTCTCCCTCTTCCCCCGATGGCGGCCTGAAAGTAGTCGACCCCCCCCCGCGTACTGTTTTTTTACACACAGGATTCCCGGGAGTTGGGTTTTCGCCTGCGTTTTTTTTCAAAATGCTGCTCTCGCTGAGGCGCCGGCCTCATTTCTGCTCCCGAATCGTTCCGAATCGTGCTCCCGCTGCAGCGTGGGCCTCATTTTCGGATCGGTGTTTGGCGTTCTCGCCCCAGCCCAGCACCACCACCAGCCACCACCACCACCACCACCACCACCACCACCACCACCACCACCACCACCACCACCACCACAACCACGCACACACGCACGCACGCACGCACGCACGCACACCACGCACGCACCACGCGCACGCGCGCGCGGCACGCGCGCGCGGCGCTCCGCTACGACACGCGTCCGCGGATAAAGAAAATCAGCGCCATGGTAAGGGATGGGAGGGAGCCTGAGGGAGGGGTAGGACGTCAGATATGACGCGAGCGCACCTAGCTTGTCCCATCCCCCTCTCCCTCCCCCTCCCCCCTTCTCCCAGGCGATCGCAAACATAGATCAAGGGGGCGTGGATTAGCGATGGGTCCCGTTTTCATGAGACATTGCGGATTTCCGCCGCCGAGCGAGGCGGCACCGGCCGCATTTTGGGGAGGTGCGCGCCAAATCCATGGATTCTTAATCCAAGTTTGCGCGCCCCCGATTAAGACGGGCCTGTCCCTCTACAGGAGGAAAATTCAAAAATAGGCTAACAAAAATAGTCGGAGGACGATGTTTCGAGTATTTTTGGACAATTGTTTGGGTTTCTGTTGACTTTGTTTTGATTTGTCTTGCAAAGTCCGCCTGTAGGAGGACATGCCCGACGTAGGTCTAACCCTCTCCTCTTGCTTCTTCCTCCCGACCCACGCCGACCCCTCCAGTCTCCGAAGCAGTGCTCGCACTAGGGGTCCTTGCTTCGCCTGCCAAGCAACTGGCTGGGTCTCCTGGTCTTCGCACGGCGCCCTCCCGCGGGCACCCCGGGCTGGCTTGCATTTTTGGGCTTCCGCCCAGTGCCCGCCCGTGCGCGCCTCGCGAGCACCCCGTGTGCCTTGGCGGGGCAACGATAGGGGGGGATAGGCACAGGGGGGGATGCATCGACCCCCAATCGCCCATTGATCGCCGATAGGGGCCCGATAGCCCCAACCTGCCCAGGAGCGTGCGGATTCACTATCGGGGGCCTATCGCCGATCTATCGGCGCTGTATCGCCGATTCCAGGTCGATGTTTCCTCCCACAAGGCCTATCCCCCCCTATCGTTGCCCCTCACGGTGGCTGCCCGTTGGCGTCTCGTGGGCGCCCCGTGCGCTGGCTGGCATCTCCAGGCTCTCGCCCGGAGAGGACGACGACGGCAGCGACGACGGTGGCGACGACGGCGGCGATGGCCGCGGCCCAGATCGCAGCTGGCGCACCCGCGCCCACGGCGAACCTGTACTACACCCTCCGCAAGGCGGCGGCCGTCAACCAAACCACCACTGCTGCTGCTGCTGCTTCTGCTGCTGCTACTGATGCTGCTTCTACTGCTCTTTGTCGTCGTTGTCGTCGTCGTCGTGGTGGTGGTGGTGGTCGTCGTCGTCGCCGTCCTCGTCGTCGTCGTCGACCTCCTTCCCAGTCTTCCAGCGGTCTGATGTTCTGGATGGCGACCCTGAGTAGTGCTAGGCCTTTTCTGTTGCTATCTCCCTCCTCCTCCTCCTGCTCCTTGGTCGTGCGAATCAAGACGTGCTATGCACTTTAATGTGGATCCAGGGTCGGGAAATACGTGGTATGTCATGCGGTTGCTACGTCTAGTGAGAAAAAGCTCAAAGCTAGAATGATGATTTTTGGTTGCCTTGTGTATGTGCGGGAGGGATGTTTCAATCCTAGTGTTTTCCTCTCGTTTCGGCATTCGGGAGCCCGTTTTCAGGCCCTGGGCCATCAGCTGGAGGTCCAGGACGAGAACGTGTCCCTTGGAAAGAGGTCGAGACCCCGGGGGCCCGTGGAGTGAAAGCATTGAGACATCAGTCCGTGAGGGAGCTGGCTTTTTCCTTCTCCTCTTGCCCCTCTCACTCCGTGCCCTCGTTGTCGCCACCATCCAACCTCCTCCTCCCTCTTCTCCTGCTCTTCTTTCCCTTCGATGGGTGGGCGAGAGCTTATATGGAAGGAGGGAGGGAAGGAGGGTAGGATATGGAAGGAGTAAATGGGAGGACATGGATATGGGGGGAAGGGAAGAAGGGGAGGATATGGAAGGAGGAAGGAGGGAAGGAGGGGAGGATGTGGGTGGGAGGAGTGAGGGGAGGATACGGAAGGGCAGGGGAGGATGTGGCCTCCTCCAGCCTTCCCCCTCTTTCCTTTTTTTGTTCTCTCTTTCTCTCTGTCTCTCTCTCTCTCTCTCTCCTCCTCCTGCTCCTCCTCCTCCTCCTCGTCCTCCTCCTCCTCCTCCTCCTCCTCCTCCTCCTGCCCCCCTCTCGGGGGCAGGCAGCTGCACGGCTGTCCTTCGGGAGGCTCTCCTCCTCCTCCTGTTCCTCTTCCTGTCCTCCTCCTCCTCCTCCTCCTCCTCCTCCTCCTCCTTCTTGTTCGCTCTGGCAAGCCGTTCTGGGCCCAGACCATTTTGGCAAAGGGCCTTGCTTGTGCAGACTTCAGAACGGGCTCGCTTCAAAAGCCAGCCGATCGTTCCGCCATGATCCCTCTGCCGCGATGCCCGAGGCCACCCGTCCTTGGACTTGACAGTACCGCCCGCAGCGTGCGAGGGTGGGGGCTGCCGAAGGAACGGAGGATGGCTACGGCTTCAGCGGTTAGAACGAATGAGAGTTCAGTGGAGGCGAGAGTGGCTACGAATCACAGACGTGGAAATGTCGTCTCTGTGTTCGAGGCAGAAGCACATACTCGTGATGGTTCTGGGAACACTGTTGAGCACCCCGAGTTGAAATCCCAGACCAGCAGCAACACAAGGACGGGTGCGTCAAGATGGTATCTGGAAGTGGGGCGCTGTGTCGCTGGGCACGTGGGCCACCAGCCTCACTTCCGGGCCGACAGCCAACGCCCCCCAGACCAGAGCCTCAGCGAGAAGGAGTTGCTGCAGCCCGTGGTGCTGTCCACAAAGTTCGGGGACAACTCGGCGGTCACGCAGTACCAGATCGCACTGCCGAGGCTCAAGCACAAGGAACCGGAACCAAAGCCATCGCATCAGAGGGCGTCGCAAGCCGACCAGATAATGTTGCAGGTCGAGAACAAGCTGTCTACGGAGCTTGAGCAGCTCGAGAAGTGGCGTTGCTGGGCCACCAGGCAGGAGTCAAGGGTCAAAGTTTTGTCCGAGGAGCTCTTCAAGGCAGATGCGGAGCGCAAGTCGCTCGATGCCGAGCCGCCACGCACGCGAGTTCAGAGGGATCCAAACAGCCACGTCGCTCTGGGTACATGACTGCTGGTGTTACTTTACGTTTTCGCAAGATCGCCGATGCCACGGTCAGCAGCTTCAAGTTCTCCGACGCTGAGGATCAACGTTTCGGATTGTATCGTCTGCGTATCTCGTGTCCATTATTTGTCGGGGAGGTGCTCAGAAAGACAGACGATCTCAAGCAGATCCGCGGTGACCATGTTCTTCGCATGCCCAAGAAGAAGCGTAGGACGGAGGACGCGGAGACAGGAAAAGCAGGAGCAGTGCCATCAGCAGGCCATGAAGGCTCCAGCGGGCCAAGTTCGGGAGCTGCGGCGTCGGGACCAGCGCCGATTGCGCCCGCGCCTGAACCGCCTGCCGCCGCCGCCGCGCCTGCTGACGTACGTGAGCGCGCGCGTCAAGCTGTTTCAAAGGAAGCCCCCCCGCGCAGCCCCCTGGAGACGCTAGCTGAGAGCGGTTGCAGGGGAGGTCCTGCGCGGGGGAAAACAGCCAGACCCTCGAGTCGGCTGTTCTGCCTGCCATTCCCCGACAGGGCTACTGCGCCTTGTAGTGAGTTGTTCAGTGCCCCCGCGTGCGCCGTAGAGTAACGTCGCCACTTGGGGCTCGGTACAACCTTGGCTCCATACTATTGGGGCCCCCTTCCTCCTTCTGCCCTCTCTATTCACTCTGGTTTGTACTCCCTGTACTCTCTGATCTGTGCTGCCACTGCCAGTTCTCTAAGTCATAGTACGCCAGTGCTCACAAGGTCTTGGACATTTTGCCACAACCAAAAATGTTTTAAAAAGTTGTTGCAAGAACATAAGTCGGCCCGCAAGGAACGCATGGGCGATGCCTCGAATTCGGCCATCAAGAACGGATGGGATTTTAAGTTTGTCGCGGCCGTTATTCTCATGGGCTCTGGGACGTCTTGGGGGTAGCGATGTTAATTCAGGGGCCTTTTTGGGTGGCTATGATCGTGGGGCTGGACATATTATGTGCCCTTTGATGGTTTTGCCGCGTCGGGTGCAGATTCCTAGGGGTGCGCATGTTCTCTGCGTCTCGATCTATGTCAGGGGCTCCGAGGGTCTCTCCGATGAAAACCTCGGGATCTTGTCTTCTGAAGG